TATTCTATTCTATTCTATTCTATTCTATTCTATTCTATTCTATTCTACCCTATGACTATCATTAAGTGTTGTACCTGATGATTCTTGACTCTTGATGAGTGTATCTTTTCTTTTATGTACACTGAGAGCATCTGCACTAAGGCAAATTCCTTGTGTGTCCAATCATACTTGGCCAATAAAAGAAGTACTCTATTCTGACTCTGTAAGCTGCATAGAGAGGGCTGTAAAGCACTATAAAGCGGTATATAAGTCTAAGTGCTATTGCTATATTCTCCAAAACACCTGAAAGACAAAAAGCAACAGGTGGGAGCTAATGAGAGGGAGATCCAACCTGAAACTAAGGAGAATTTTCCTACAGTGAGAACAATTATATCGGTAGAAGGACTCACCTCCTGGAGTTGTGCGTGCTCCGTCACCAGGGGTTTTCAAAAATAGACTGGACAACCATTTGTCTGGGGTGGTATAAGGACTCCTTGCCTTGGGCAAAGGGCTGGATTAGAAGATCTCCCAGAGCCCCTTCCAGCTCTCTGATTCTAGGTAGCCAACTCTACCAGACTTCTTTTCCTGCAACCTGTTGTTCTGTTTTTAGAGACCGCCCTGGATTCAGACGTGCATTTTCAACGGATCATGCAGTGTTCGAAGGACCAGTATTGGGATGGCCTTCTGGGTAACTGTGTGTCGTGCAAATATGCTTGTCAGCCACTCAAGTTCCAAGGATGCGCCGATGTCTGTAGTAAGCATCTGAAAATGAAGTTCTATGGTTTCCCACTGTGAAATCGTTGTATTGTTCAACCACTTTGGTCCTGCAAACAGTCCACGAATCATGGTAGAACTGGGGCCCTTCCAGCACCAGTAGAAGTGCTGCAGATGTGGTTGGTCAGCTCCAGCAGGATGACCATGCCACTCAATGCTTTAGCAAGACTCCTTCTTCAACCCATTGACCTCCAGGTGTTTTCTGGAGGAGGTCGATCGAAGTTTAACGGTAGCCAGGTTCTGATCAAGGATGGTCAGTGTATGGCTGGTTAGATGTTGCTAAATCCCACTTCTCAGCATCACAGACCATTAGCCATGCTGCCATAAGGTTGGTGGGAATTTGACGTTCAGCAACCCATGGAGAACCTGCTTTTCTGCTCTACAGCACTTGGATGACTGTGGGTGGTACTTAGTGAGGTAGGGATGTATGAAGTGGACTTCTGTTGGTGCTAGAACTACTTCCTTTGCACATCTGCAGAAGGTGGGTTGCTGGAAAGCCAAATAAGGAAAGATCTATTTTACAGCCCCGACTCCCAAATTGTTTCCTGAATTGGCTTTCATGCTCCAAAGAAGAGAGGTCCAACCTTGGCCACTTCGAGACCTATGGACCTCGATTCCCAGAATCCTGGGTGTTGAAGTCCACAAGTCTTGAAGTTGCCAAAGTCGGACATCCTCTGCTCTAAAGCGCTGTGACCACTACCCACCCTTTGCCAGCCTCCAGAGCTTAGCAGCCATCCTTGACCAACAGCTGGAAGAACGTTCTGCCCCCCCCCCCCCCCCCCCCGACAAGCCAGAGATGTTCAAGGATGCAGGAGATGGAAAGGGAGGGAAGTCACATCCCCTTTTGCCGCATTAGGATGCTGCTGTTTCCATGGCTACGGGATGGGATAGCCAATGAGCTGTAGGACAGCCAACGATTGGATGGTCCCTTGGTGGGTGGAGAAGAGAGAGAGGCGGGCAGGTGCGTCTCCCATTTGCACAAACTCTTTCGTTTTACTTTTAGGCTCCTTGGAGTGCAGCAAGCAAGAGGGCTCCTACTACGACCAGCTCCTGAGAGAATGCGTCAAATGCTTCAGCATCTGCGGTCAGCACCCCAAACAATGCGCGCCTTTCTGCAGAAGTAAGAGCTGAAAGCGGAGCCTTTCAAAACAGCCAGCTGGATCTGGAGGGTTCAATTTTCCTCCTTTTTTTTTTCTTCTTCCCCACCCCGGAATGCAAAGCACACCCAGAGATCTTCCCCACCAGCCCCCCCAGTTTAGTAACGTTACCCTCCGTAATGGGCAGAAAAATCGGTCACAAAACTTGCGCCCAGGGATGAAACATGGGGTCACCTCCTGAGAGGCAAATCCTTTGCATTTCTTGAGGATTATTATTATTATTATTATTTTTCACACGCCACAAGGAAACCCAGCAGGGACTTTTAAAAAAATCTTTGCCAGATTGTTTACTCGTGGGCATTACATTCCCAGTTCCTGGTGGACATCCAACACATTATCATGCTTCATTCATATAGTCATGAAGAAGGGAGTGTTACATTCTGTGGGTGATTTATTGCATTTATTTACTTCACTGTGTTTGGTTTTGATTTAATTTTCTGGTTATGGATGAAAGAAAAGCATTGTTGGAATGCAAATCCTGTCACCGTCTGCCATCGCGAACCTTTGCTTGGGTAGCCAGCTCAGAAAGTTAAGTTCCCCAGGAAAATATTTGCAACTCAGGGTTGAGCTGTGGAGTTCTTGGTAGCTGTCTGAGCTTGTTTTTCTTGCGGACGTTTCATGACCCAAATAAGTGACATTATCAATGCTAGAAGGCGGCTTGTAGCAACCCCGCTCCCCTCCTAGCGCTGATGATGTTGCCTCGTGGGGCATGAAACATGTGCAAGAAAACAACCAAGTCAGAGAACACCAAGGATCTCTAGTCCTCCTCCTCCTCCTCCTCCTCTCTACAATCCCCACCCCCTTCTAGCACTGATGATGTTACCTAGTTTGGTAATGAAACGCCTGCAAGAAAACTACCCGGCTCAGAGAGCACCAGGAACCACACAATCCCCCAGATATCCATTTCCATCCAAAGATCAAATCCGGAGGCCACACATCGGAATTGGTCCTGAAATAAGTCGGGCTGTGGGATAAAACCTCGATTAACTCTTCGTTCTCTCTCTCCGCTCCATTTGACTCCCAGGGTCCCTTCCTGCCACTTTACCAACCCCGGCTGCTCTCCAGCCCCTGCAGCAAAAACTGGATGCTACTTATGAACAACAGGTGCTGCTATATCTGGCTCTGGTCTTCTCCCTTTGCATCCTGGTTTTCTCCTTGCTGTTGATTTGGATTTACTTTCAAAAAAGAGGGGACGAGAGGTTTTGTCGAGCCGGCTCAGCATCTTGCCATAAAAAGGGAGATCTCCCCAAAGGTACACACCTTTTTTTCCCCACCCTTATTCCAGTTGAAGCAACAGCCCTTCCTCGGGTGCTTGCAAACAGGCTCAAAGGAGGAGTATCAAAATCATGTTGTTGTTATTTTTTTTCCTTTTCCCGCCCTCCAGATGGTCTCATGGAAGTGGGAAGTTTCGGAAGCGACTCCGGCGGCAACCAAACTCCAGACCCTGTGGAAACCTGTGGCTTCTGTTTCCCCGAAGTGAGCCCTGCCATCCAGGAGACACGAGCCTGCCCAAGCCCATACCAGATAGAGATGCTGGCTGAAGACGATGCTGCTGCTGCCGCCGCTGTCCAGGGCGGGACGGTACTTCCTTCCGTCGAAGACGGCCGCTTCCAAATTATATGTTCTCCTTCCCAAGAAAAGATGCCGTTGAGCTAAGCCATAAACAGCGGAGGGGGTGTGGGGGAGGGGGGGAGAACAGGAGCACGACATCCCCCTCCCCACCAAAAGCTGCTTGCATTGTTGAGGTCTAGAACGGTAAGGGCTCACCTTACAGGGAAACCGAGCGGTGATATTTTTTTATTTTTATTTTTTAATCTTTGCCAGATTGTTCACTCGTGGGCATAAAATTCCCAGTTCCTGGTGAACGGTCCAACATAAAAATGCTTAAAAATAAAAAAAAAAGTCCTCGAGGGAAAAAAAAAAACATTATATAGGTAGTCCTCGACTTACAACGGAGGCCAAATTTTCAGTTGCTTAGTGAGACAGTTGCTAAGTGAGCTTTGCCCCCTTTTCGACGATCTTTCTCGCCATCGTTAAGCGAATCGCTCGCGGCAGTTCTTCACTTAGTCAACACGGTCCTTAAGTGAACTTGGCTCTTTCCCCCCCCCCCCCCCGTCGATTTTGCTCGTCAGGTCGTGAAAGCGGATCTCATGACACACCCAGGAGACACGGCAACCACCATAAATGTGACTCCGTTGCCAAGCGGCTGAAATTTTGATCCTGTGACCATGGGGAGGCTGCGATGGTCATTCAGTGTGTGAAAAATGGTCCCTAAGTCACTTTTTTTCAGTGACGTTGTAACTTCGGTCACTAAATGGAGCTGTTGTAAGAGCAGAACTACCTGTATGCTGCAATTTGTCTCGCTAGCTATTTTCTGCTGTATTTGTTCACTTTATTTTTGGGGGGTATGTTTGCTTAAACGAATGGTTGTTTGCGTGTACACGTATGCCCTTTCCTGGTATTTTCAATAAACTATTGAGAGGAAGATCTCCGGGGAGGCGGTATTTCTATGGTCCAATTCTTTTTCCTCTGTTTATCTCATTTTTTTTTAGACGTTAAGAACTAAGAATTGTTGCAAAAGCCTCTTGCTTTCTAAAGGCGGTAGAGAGCAGACACAAAAGTAAGAGCTTGAATGCAGTATTTTAAGCCTTTGGAAGTCCCCCAAATGGATTCCTGGAAAAGGGTAGATGGATAGAGATTAAGAGAATCGGAAGGGACCCTGTAGGTCATCTAGTCCAGCCCCCCCACCCCTCTCAAGCAGACCCTACCTACACCATACGATGTGATTTGAAGGGAAGAAAAAAGTACTTATTCTCTCTTCATATTTGACGTTTCCATCCTGGAAAACTGTCTCAATGACTTGACGCTGACAAATTCAGAAGGGTTGAGCATGCATTGCTCCTTCTTACTCCACGTTTTTCAGAGGAAAATGCTGTTCACAAGTGGGTAATGATCGCTGGCAACTTAAGCAAACCTATTACACGGAGTTGCATTTCGTTTGTCCTCTCCGCCTATCCGTCAAAAATGACCCAAGAGCCTTCTTAACCAGGCATCTGTTAGTCAGCTTCCTTTTCGAAATCTTTTACTTCGTCAAGGAAAAGGTAGAATTCCACTTACCCCCCCGCCGCCGCCTTTTTGTCCCGGGAAGGATGAAAAAGATTTAAAGAGATCTACCACTGAGAAAATCAATAATTATAGCAACTCCACCCCCAAGGTTCTAGATTTAGGATCTCAGGATTGAGAAGGATCTTTTCCTGACCAAGATGGTGATGGGAGACCCACCAGGGGAAAGTGGGACTATCTCCAAGGGCCACATTTTAAGGACGGCTTGGCTCTAAGCCACAGCACACAGAGAGCTTTGAAAAAGCAAATGAGATCAATGGGATCTTATGGCTGCAGACTGATCACAGCCCAGTTACAATACATGATGTGTCTTTGGCTGAAATCTTCAGATGAATGAATAATGTCGGCCACTGGTCAAAGTAAAGACATACCCAACCTCCCTCCCACAGCAAGTAACATCAAAATGATCGAGATGCTATTTAATTCAGAGTCCACCACCCACCCACCCACAAACAGGCCTTCCTCTGGTTACCTAGCAACCACAGCACAAGCTCTGCCCCTCCGTGTGAGCCAATTGCTTTCTTTAGCACTTCTGTGACAGCATCGCGGGAAAAGGATGACAAGGATGCAGCAAAGCCAGAATTGTCCAAACTACGTTTCTGGAATTGCCTTCAAATGATAAGAAGGGAAGGAGAGGGAGGGGAAGGAGGAGGAAGGGAGGGAAAGGAGGGAGGAAGAGGAGGATGGAAAGGGGAGGGGGACGAAGGAAGAAGGGGAAGAGAAGGGAGGAAGAAAGGGAAGGGAGAGGAAGGAAGAAGGCGAAGGGGAGGGAAGAAGGGAAGGGAAGAGAGAATGGGAAAGGAGAAAAGGAGGAAAAGGAGAGGTGAGAGAAAAGAGAGAAGAGGAGAAAGCCGAAAGAATGGAAGAGAGCAAATCCAATGTATCTTCTTACACGGAAAAGCAAAATTAGAAGCACTGAAATCCATAGAAAGCAAGAAAGCGACATGGGTTTCGAAGTGACCCAGACATGCTTTTCCTTTTAGGACTAATAGATAAAAATAATTAGAAAGTTGGTAAAACTGATCGCTCTTGTTGAGATGGATGAATTAGCTGCTTTCATTAGAGAAGAAGACAACCATCTGATTGGTGCCTAGAAAAATCTCATGGAGGTTTTGCATACAAATGATTTATGATTTAGAGCTCTGATGACCAGGCTGCATAGATTATTGAAAGAAAAGAGTGAGCTTAAAATATAACTGCTCTGAAGATTATTGGAAGCCACTTCTTTGCATTTTCTTCCTTTCTTCTCTGGTTTTCTTCAACTTTTTTCTTGGATTATTTGTGTTCCTTTTTTTTTGTAGTTTGTGCTAAATTTTTATCTTCTTTTCAACATTTCAATAAAATTATATAGACTATTTAAAAAGCCACTGCATAATTAAAACCAAGGAAGAATAATAGTGACCAATTCTAACATTAACACAGAGGAAAATAACGGTCCAAATAAACCTATTCCAAGATTAAATTACAAAAAGCAGAGAAAATATACACAAACACTGTAAACAGCTATGGACAAACATGTTTCAGTTTTAGGCCAAGAGATTATGAACAACAATTATATGATCTGAATTTTAATTTGATTAGTAACTTGGGAGCACTCTGGATCAAAATGCCCTAAATCTGGGTCCATATATTGATGGAAATTTCTTTTTAATGGACATTTTGTTTTTTTTAAATCTGTTCCAGAAAGCTTACCTATCAAGCCCTTTTGTCCCCCAAAAAACAAAAAAGGGTTAACAGTTATAATAACTACTTCTTAAAAATATTTTTTCCTCTTTTTTTTGGCATCTAACATTAAAAAGGAAATGGGTTTGGGAGGTAGAGAGAAAAGATAGCATTACTCGGAGTTCAGCCACAAGAGGGTGCCATAATTCCATTTGAGAAAGAATTTTGAATTTCGGGGTCATGAAGCAGAAAAGGCCAGCTCCTCTTCCTCGCACACTTACATTATTTAAAAGGAAACAGGGAGATAACAATCATCACACTCACAACGCCTGCTTCATCTGCAGCTATAATGTGGCCACATTGGCTCGCTGTTAGCAAATTGCTGTTTTATTCCATGTAAATACTGGTTTTAAATTTATCTTGACCAACCAATAAAGATTCTGGAGAGCGATCTAGAATAGATGCAAGACAAGGGTAAGATTATAGGATTATCCAGCTACCCTCGTGAGCACGTTGTCCGTGTTCCACAAAATTTCTCAATTAATATTCCCGCAGGGTGGTAGTAGATCCACCATCGTAATTTTGAATTTCCTCTCATTCACCATGATAAATTTTCTGAGCAGGCCACACTGCCCCGGGGGAAGGGGGAGGAGAAGAGGCATGTTATGAGAATTACAGGCAGTCCTCAGTTTATGACAATTGAGCCAGAAATGTTCTGTTGCTAAGTGAGATATTTGTTACGTGAGTTTTGACCCATTTTACTGCCTTTTCTTGCCAGCGTTGTTAAGTGAATCACTGCAGTTAAGTTGGTAACCTGGTTAAGTGAATTTGGCTGACTGCTTGTCAGATTACAAAAAGTGCTCACATGACTCTGGGATGCAGCAATGGTCATAAATACAGGTCAGTTGCCAAGCGCCTGAATTTTGATCACGTGGTCAAAACAGGCGTCACTTTTTTCAGTGCCGTTGTAACTTTGAACGGTCACTAAACACTGTTCACCGTTATATCCTTGTTTTTATGCTAAAAAATAATGAACCTTAAGCAGTGTCTGCCTTGAATGGCAGGGGGACATCTAAAGGCCTCTGAACAGCCTACAGGAAGCCCAAGTTGAGCTCTCTGCAACCAGACAAATGTTTTGACAAGGGTTAAATTCTGCACGTTATGAATTGTCTCAAAATCAGTATATTCTCTTGACTCTTTAACTGGTGGAAAATTACCAGACTGGGTCGGCCATCTCTAGAATACCCAGTAGACTCCTAGGACATAAGGAGCTTTGAAAAAGCGGTGAGACTTGCTTAGTTTAAAGGCAGAGGATAGATAGATAGATAGATAGATAGATAGATAGATAGATAGATAGATAGATAGATAGATAGATAGATAGATAGATAGA